CTTCCACGTAAGCTGCGCCTTGCGAAGCGGACAGGTGAACATTTTTTAATGCGTTATCTGGGTTTACGCAAATGCAAAAAGGCATATTGGTGAGGCCATATTCGTCTCTGTATACCTTTATGTCCTGGTTTTTGCAACTTAATTTGTACAAGCGTTTGCTCCGAACTTTTTTGAAAGGACGTGTAAGAGAAACCGTCAGGATACAAGTAGTTGTCGCCAGTTATGTTTGAGATACAATTATTTGAATAGTCTGGTGGTTTAGTAGTTTTTTAGCATAAGTTTCAAGTGACATAAAACGTTAAAACAGAGCTTCAGTTCCTTATCAGACTGGATATATTGCGTCTAGGCCATAGCGGACACTTTTCTTTCATAACAATTCCTTATCGTCACGTAAATTATAAGAAAAAGGGGCTTCATGCCGCCAAATTCAACTGGTTAAGAATCTTTCTGCTACTGCATAGTCTTTCGTTTCATCCAGGTAATTGGTGTAACGAGAGATTTTAGGTAATGCAAATTGAGCACGAAAATGACGATGATGATGGTGTACGCATGATAAGCCTCTGCAGACAGCATTCGCTAGAAATGTATCGTTCAGTTTCGGCAAACCTCAACACATCGTTTGTGTCACACACTCTTACACTTCCGGTACCTTTTTTGCATTTAGAAAGAATTCTCCTTACTCTTAATATGGGAAATAATTTGCCTAGCTTCCACTGCGAAGTAATTTTAATTGTTTAAAAACTGAATGAACAACTCAGTTTAACCGCTTATTTGTACTTTTTGTTGATAAATGAATAAATTTTTCAGTGAATCTTAAAAATACTTTTGTGGCAGTGCGACGACAGTAGCCCAGTTTAATAAGCCAGTGCTTTTTTTTGGAAAAATTTTAATGAAAATTCGATGCAGGAAATGGAAAAAATATTTTGGCTTTATGCATCTGTGGAGGATATCGCCAGTATGCTCTCTGTCAGCGAAGAGGTTGTTTCGGATGTGTATGAGTACTGGAAATTGCGACGCATTGATAATCGGTATAAGCCGCTGCTGAGTGACAGATCTGAAGTTGAGCGACAGGTTGTTTGTCGTTTGCAATCATCCGCAGCTTCTCATCCCGAAAGATTGCGACAGGCGGTGCGCCAGAGTTTTGAACGGGTTATTTTTTAACTTAAATTAAATTTTCCATCGATAACTTGCGAAATTTGGAATTCGGAGTAGTTTGTCGCTAAGTTGTTATCTTTTTATCACTCTCTGTCTTCTCCTGCTTCGCTTAATTTTTTCCTACTTTTTAAAGGAGAAGAAATCTTTATTCGAAGTACCTTTTCACTTAGGAGGTTGGCGATTGAAGTTTCAACTTTTTTCCCTTGAACATTTAATTTCCCATCTTTCAACTGTTGTGCGAACGATACAGAGAACTTAAGCTGGGTCACTCTTAGGCTGCTTTCGCTTTTTAAACTTGAAAACTGTTATGTTGGGAAAGTGACGAATTTTTCTGCAGGATGTGTGATTTCAAATTGAGTCGGGAAAATTTTTTTGTTTATTTTTAGAAAGTACGCTTATTTAAATGGCGTACTGTAAAAAGGAAAAAAATATGTTAATGTTCGTCACTGTTACATGGGAATTGTTTTGAAAGTTGGAAGCGATGGGAAGAATGGTTTAGAGATGGTGCATTTGGACTATAGTTTGTCAGAATTGGCTTACAAATTGTCGAAATGAGCTTTTGGTCTGTGAAGATAAACAAAAGCATAGGATGAAAATTTTTTTGCGGGAGGAGCAGTTTGTTCGTCCCCAGGCCTTCTGCCGTTCTTCAGTTCCTTCATATTCCAACCAGTTGAACAAAGGAGGTGGGAAAACAAATTTTCCTCGAGTTGCCGGTCATATGCATTACTGTGCAGTCCGTGTAACGCGATTATTTTGTTTAATCGATCTGTTTTGTAGATACGAAGTTTATGCGATTTGCTGAAGAGACGCGAGAAGACAAAACTGGCTGCTGCTCATTGTTGGGCT